TATATATTGTTTTTGAGCTCTATTTCTTTTTCCTGTGTTTTATTCACACACTCAGGCTCCATAGTCGAAACACTTCTGATTAGCTCATTATCTGTGAAGCTGCAGTCAGGCGCATTACATTGCAGTCCCTTACCGCATTACTCTGTGTGTGTTTGTTTGTGTGTGTGTGTGTGTGTGTGTGTGTGTGTGTGTGTGTGTGTGTGTGTGTGTGTGTGAGATTGTCCTCACCTCGAACCTGCAGACCTAGCCCACAGAGCTCCTGATTCCCAGGACTGCCCTCCCGAACAGACCATGGAACCAATTGACATCTTCGCCACTTATGAGTTTTCCATCTGTCAAAAAACACATTATAAGAGGAGTCTTGAATGAAAATTGAACTGGTCTACTTTGTTCATATTTGGCCATCACAAGAAAACATCATATTCAGCACTGCATATTAGTTTTTGGCAGGTACTGAGTGAAAAAAGTCCCCCCACTTTTTTTTTAACTTGTGAAGGAGCTTGTTTATTATAAACATGAAGTTAGGATTAACAAACTTTATTAGACTGGTTTTAAATATATTGCATTATCAGATAATACATGTTATCAGATTAATATGATTAATCCATCTATATTAATGGGCTACATACCACGAGCCTTTACGGTGGCAGTAATTAATCCATGACTTAAAAAGCCATCGGGTGTCTTAGCTGCACCAATTTCCAACTTTCCTTTCATCTCAAACTTTCATAAAAGAATAGTATGAAACCAGTTAACTGCTCACCTGCAGAGGAACAGTTTATTTGAAGCGTTTCACTCAGAATTCATAACTGTACAGAAACAGCTTTAGTGAAGGTCAAATGATCTTCTTGTAGCCTCTGACAGTGGATTAATTTCTGTGATTGTGCAATATCATTCAAAGGCACAGCATATATTTTCATTGCTTTGCAGACGATAATCACCTTTTAATTAATATGTGTGTGTTATCCCTGTGTTCATAATATAGTTAAACTGTAGGAATGTCTTAAAGATATAAAGACCTGGATGGCCTCTAGGTTTTTGCACTGGATCATAAAAATGACAGACACTTGCTGGCATTACCTTGACCTTCTGCAGCACTGTAAGGGATGCTGGAGTCAATTCTGACATTATATTTATATAATGTAACTAATATTTTGGCTTTATGCTGCTACACTATTATTCATTGCTTCTGCAACACTGACAATAAAAATGCTTATCTTATCCTGGACTGTTTCTAATTTTAGATTCTAATTTTGGAGATATTGCACTCGTCGTTGCAGAGTATCTGTAAAATTAGAATCATCTTTTCTCAAAGTTATACTGAAAAACTAGTTCATGCATTTATTGTTTTATCATTATTATCAGGATTTCCTAAAAACTCCCTGGAAAGCCTTCAGTTGATCCAAAATGATGCAGCGAGTGTGCTGACGGGGACTAAAGGTCTCAAATAATCAGGCCCCATCCTATCTTTATGAACTCATAGTACCATATCATCCCAATAGAGCACTTTTCTCGCAGCCCACAGGCTCGCTTGTGGTTCCTGGGATATTTAAAAGCAAAACAGGAGGCAGAGCCTTCAGCTTACTGTAGAACCAGCTCAAGATGCACTGAGCATTTCTTCTTTGCGAACCCAAGTACAAGTACAAGTACCTCGGGCTGTGGGTGGACAATAAACTGGACTGGTCATGCAACACAGAGCACCTGTATAAAAAAGCCCAAAGCCGACTGTACTTCCTCAGGAGGCTGAGGTCTTTTAACATCTGCAGGAAGCTCCTGAGGATGTTTTACCAGTCGGTGGTTGCTGGAGTACT